TCATTCAAGACTCTGTATTAGTCAGATTAAGCCCCCAGATTTCAGGGGCTTACCATAGTAACATCTCAGTCATGTCTGAATCCAGTGCAACCCGGGACTTGGCAGATGCCAAGTTCAGGGACTGGTTTTATCATCTTCTAGGTCCTCACTGTCTTCCACCAGGTCCTCCGTGGGAGGCTTTGGGGCCAGGCTTGGAAGTGGCAAATGTCATTTCCGTCCACAGTCCACTAGCCAGTACCCAGTCCCAGGAGGCCACATGACCTCAGGGGGGCTGGGAAATATCAGCTTAGCCGTGTGCCAGAAGGGGAATGCAGTCTTCCGGGGCCACCAAGGACTCTCTGCTCTACCCTTACAACAACCCATTTTACTGGTGGAGAAACTGAGGGACAAAGGCAAAGTCATTTCCCAGGGCCACACATACTGTGGCAGAACCAGGATTTGTCCCCTGCCCCTTTTTTCGCTACATCCTTTTCTTCTTTCATGTCCTACTGCTTTGAAGATACTATAGCATTTTAAAAGTTTTCTTTAGTTTCTGCGTTGTCTCGTTTCCTCAGAATTCCTTTTTCCTTTCACCTCCAGAATTCCTTTCCTATAGATGCATGTGTAGGCTCACTGAGCAGTGATCCTTTCCATTGGGGGTCCTCTAAATAGCAGTATTTATAGGCAGAGCTGACTATATCATTTGCGAGGCTCAATGCAAAATGAAAATGCAAGACCTTTGTCAAAAAGCAGAAAAAAGCCTTTCCCTCTTGTCTGTGTTCTCTCTCTACTTCCCCCCTGCCCCAGACGTGGCAAGGTGGTTTTTTTAAATTTGCTATTATTTAACGTCTTTCTCCCTCAGCCATGGGGACACTCATGGTGCCAGTGCAGACCCTCACATGCTCCCAGAGCCCCGCTCCGCAACTTGGTGGGTGGGACCTGTCTGGCCTACCTGGCCCTCCCTGCTCATAGCCCTCCGCCAGGAGTGGGGGGTGACAGCAGTCACTGAGCGGGTGCCGAGAACCCATCCCAGAGAGGTGGCTGGAGGCAGTGTGAGGCAGGACCGCATGTGAGCTGAGGCTTCAGGCCACCAGCACGTGCTCCATTGTCCCATCCGTCTTCACTTACAAACCACACATTCCAAGATGAAGATACGGTCACACGTTGCCTAATGACAGGGACACATTCTGAGAAATGCATCATCAGGCATTTCATCATTGTGCGAACATGAGAGACTGTACTTACTCAAACCTGCATGGCGTAGGCTCCTCGACCTAGGCTGTAGGGGATGGCCTGCTGCTCCTGGGCCACAAACCTGTACAGCGTGTGCCTGCACTGAACACCGCAGGCAACGGTACCACAGCGGCATTTGTGTGTGTCAGCATAGAAGTGGCACAGTAAAAATATGGTGTAAGAGATTTTAAATAAGGGTACACCTGTATGAGGCATTTACCATGAGTGGAGCTTGCAGGACTGGAAGTTGCTGTGGGTAAGGGGTGAGCGAGTGGGGAGTGAATGTGAAGGCCTAGGACATCACCGTACACCACTGTAGACTTCGTAAACACCGCACACCAAGGCTACACTCGATTTATAAAAAAATTAGTTTCCTTCCTTCAATAATAATTTAAACTTAGCTTACTGTAACTTTTTTACTTTATAAACTAATTTTTTTAACTTTTCGACTCTTTCGTAATAATACCTAGCTTATAACACAAACACATTGTACAGCGGTACAAAAATATTTTCCTTCTTTATATCCTTACTCTGTAAGCTTTTTTCTATTTTAAATTTTTTAATAAAATTTTAAACATTTTTGTTAAAAGCAAAAACAAACACGCACATTAGCCTAGGCCTACGCAAGGTCAGGATTGTCAGTATCACTGTCTTCGACGTCCACATCTTGTCCGACTGGAAGGTGTTCACAGACAATAACACACACGGAGCTGTCATCTCCTATGATAACAATGCCTCCTTCTGGACTACCTCCTGAAGGACCCGCCTGAGGCTGTTTTTTTTTTTTTGAGACAAGAGTCTCACTGTGTTGCCCGGGCTAGAGTGAGTGCCGCGGCGTCATCCTAGCTCACAGCAACCTCAAACTCCTGGGCTCAAGCGATCCTTCTGCCTCAGCCTCCCGAGTAGCTGGGACTACAGGCATGCGCCACCATGCCCGGCTAATTTTTTTCTATGTATTTTTAGTTGTCCGATTAATTTCTTTCTATTTTTAGTAGAGACAAGGTCTCGCTCTTGCTCAGGCTGGTTTCAAACTCCTGAGCTCAAACAATCCGCCCGCCTCGGCCTCCCAGAGTGCTAGGATTACAGGCATGAGCCACCGTGCCCAGCCTGGCCGCCTGAGGCTGTTTTACAGTTAACTTTATATATATATATGGAGTATACTCTAAAATAATGATAAAAAGTATACTATAATAAACACATACAGCAGTAACAGTCATTAATTATCAAGTATTATGTACTGTACATGATTGTATGTGCGAGGCTTTTATACAACTGTGGCAGCATAGTAGGTTTGTTTACAGCATCAACACAAAGACATGAGTAATACATTGCTTTGTGATCTTACAATGGCTATGAGGTCACCAGGCAATAGGAATTTTTCAGCTTCATGATAATCTTTCGGGACCACTGTCTTCCATGTGGCTTTTCATTGACCATGATATTGTTGTGTGGCCCATGACTGTATTAAGAAAGCCAAGACAGCAACCACGCAGCATCAGACCCCTAGCACGGGGCCTGCTGAGCAGTGCGCTGATGGCGTGTCCACTAAGCTGGCCCTCTTAGTGGGTTGTTTCTCTGAGAGCCTTTCTGTTTCCCTAGAGTAGGAGTCTCCATCCTCCCGCAGGCTGTGTTCTGGGAGCTGGACGCAGACAGGCTCCTGGAGAGACCCATGTTCAGCACCCCGACCTTTCCCTCATCCCCCATGCTTGTGACCCTGTCTGGGCTGCTCTGATACGGCTTCTCTGGAGAATAAGCCTCCGTCACCTGGGCAGGAGCTCTGGGCCTCTGCCCCACGCACAGGGACATTTTCAACCTCTCTCCCTGCTCTGCACCTTTGCTGGTCATTCATGCCTTCGTCAGCTCTCCACCCGTCAGAGATGTGTGGCCTCTTCCGTGTGCTGTTGCGCACCTACTCTGCTGACAGTGCTCCAGGAACTTTCTATATACCTCTTCCTCCCCTTCCTCTCCTGATGGGTTTTTCAGCTGGTTTATTCCTTTGCTTTTCTTTTATTGAGGATTTGGGAAGAAAAGAGATAAATCTGTGCTTTTGCTTCACCATGCTTAACCATAGATCAGTTACACCTTGGGCATACTTGTGTTTTAGAAGATTATATTCCTTCACCAAGCACTCATTGAACACCTATTGTTTGCCAGGCCCCACGGGGGGTGCTAGGCGACAGTGCTGAAAAGCAGCTTCCTGTCTCTGAGAGGCTGGGCTGTCCCTCCGGAGGTGAGAGGCCCAGGAGGTCATTATGGGGTGGAGGACGCATGGGGTGGCAGGAGTCTGTGCACAGGGCCTGGGGGCACACCTGGGACGGAGCCTGGACCTGGGGGTGTACTTCAGGAAGGTGCTTTCTGAGCAGAGAGGGAAGGACCAACCTTGTGCTGTGTTTTAAAACCTCTTTGCTGTTAGGCTCTCACTGACCTTTGTGCTAGCAGTGATTCTGCGTTTGGGTTTTCTCATCAGTCCCCTCTGTTCCCCAATTATTATTGTTTAAAAATCTGCTTCTTCTAGTCTGCCTGTGTCTGGAATGGCAGACAATCAAGTGTGTTGGAAATGTATCTAAAATAAGAGTTAATTAGGCTGTGAATTAAGGTTTGAGGGACTCAGCTGTGACTAAAATGCATAAACTTTAATGTATCAATTTTATAACTTCTATTTTTACTACCCAGTAGCCTTCTTAACTTCTGTAGCTTAATTTATATTCCAGATGACCAGCATTGCTATATGAAGCATAGCAACTATTCTCTTATAAAACTTTAAACATCAGCTGTTGGCTGTGTCTTCCTTCTAGCCCTGTATCCTTCTTGCTCCGTTAAAAATGCACTGGCCTTTGGCTTGCCCAACATGTACATTTTTATTTACTATGATTCCTTGATTTGAAGAGGCCTACTCTATTACACTGTAGCAGCTCTACAGTGGGATGTGTTTTTTAATTGACAGGGGTCTTGGCATTACATCAGAGTTTTCTTTCTTTTGTGGTACATACTAGTGTATCTTAGGATCAATGGTATCTTAGATTCAGTGAAACACAGTATTTAGGTCATTTGATGGGATTGACAATTGTTCTCTCTCTCTAGCCTGTCCCTCATGCTGTGCTGGAAAGAAACAACCTCATCACTCATTTGAAAAGCAACTTTTTTCTCCCTGCAACCTTCTTACAACAACAACAACAATAGGGGTAATAACATCAACAACAGTAAGCACATATAAAGCACCTACTATGTGCTGACTCTGCCCTGAGAACTTTCCATATACCTCTTCAACAGTTCTATGTTAGAAGCATGGTTATCATCCCCACTTCGCAGATGAGGGAGTATGGCTCAGCGGCTGAAGAGACAAAGCCAAGAATCCAGGCAGTTTGTCTCTGAAAAAAATCACTCTGTGCTGCCACTAGTCATTCTAGGAGACAACTGAAGTGTCTTCATTGAAATCAGGCGTTCTTAGGTGGTCGTGACTTGGAATCAAATAAGGAGCTTTGGAAAAATGCTGGAAGAATTCTCCAAGGAATTCTAAAGCGCAGCCAGAGTCAAGAGCCGCTGGTTTAAATGATCTGTGTGCGATCCCCTGGCTCTGCCATTCTGGGATCTGTAGCCTTTTTATCCTCTGGTGCCATACCCCAGGGTTGAGTGGCTGCCTAGCCTGGGGTGATGAGGACAGCCTGAGCCTCCTGTGCTTTTGGAGCTGGATCCCTTGGTTAGAAAATATGGCTTTGAGACCTTAAACTGATACATGCTTTTAATTTTGTCCTTTATTTCCTTTTCCTTTCTCTCTTTCTTTCTTCCAGCTCTGGAGTGCACAGAAAATCAAACAGGTAACCCAATTTTGGCTTCTTTTTCTTTCCTTCCCTGTACCCTCCTGGGATCTAGTGGAAGCCCCTCCTCCCATGGCTGTTTCGGGACTTCAGTTTGCCCCTGGCCCCTCACCCCTTCCTTCTGCCCCTGCACCTAAGGGCCAGCGTTCCTGAAGGCTGGCCTTGCCCTGGGCTCTCTGAGCTCCAGGAAGGGACTGGGCTATAATTATTTTGTATCATTACATGCCTACTGTGTGCAGGCATGGGGGTAGAGGGCCTGTAAGGAAGACACCATCCTGGTCCCCATGGGCTTTTGGTCTCCCCTACACTCGCCTTTGAGGATCAGTAAGGAGTGGGGATGCTGTTTATGGCCATGTTTTAATGTGTTCTTGCCCTAAAGGCTGGAAAGACCTATCAGGCCAGAAGGCAACACACAGCCACTGGCGTCTGAGTCTTCCTGGGGGAGCTGTCTTTTTCCCCCTTCCTCCCCGAGCACCTCTGCTTGTCCCCCTTCTTCCTCCCTCCCGCCTTCCCCACTGTCACCCTGTGCTCTGTTTCCGACTCTTGCCAGGCTATTCTACACCCGGACACCAATGAGAAGATCTTCATGCCCTTTAGAATGTCAGGTAAGCTCCTGGGACCCTGCTGCTTCTGTCCAGCCCGGGGCACTTACTATGGTCACAGCTCCAGGAGTGTCCAGATGTGTCAGCCCGAGGAGGGAATGGAGCCTGTCACACAGGCAGCCACATTTGCACCTGCGTGTTCACCTTGGCTTGACCGTGTAAGATGCTGGCCAGGCCTCTGAATCCCCCGTGGAGCTCCGCTGCCTTTTCTTCCCGAGCAGTTGGGGTGGAGCTGTGGCCTCCCCAGGTGAATCTGGTACTCTCACCCGCAGGTTGTACACCACTCACTGGGTGCAGCCTCAGTGACGCCACTGCAGGCAAGCCCTGGCTTCTACAAGCCACCCCTCCTCTCCTACCTGTGCGCCACCTGCTCTTTCCTTCCACGTCCTGCTCCCCGGTCCCCTTTCAGGCAATCAATCTCCAGATTGAGCCCTGCTCTCCAATCCCGCTGTCAGCCCTCCCTTCAGAATGCGTGTGCTGTATTTGCACTGCTGCGCGCATAGAGAAGGTGTGATTCCTGTTCTGCAGAGACCAGTGGGCAGAGGGGGTTACGAGATGCCTGCCCCTGGGAAATCCCAGTGGTCACTAGAGGGACAGCTTGGTAGGTCTGGGTCCAGGACTTAGAAAGCACATGCATGTACACTAGCTGGGGCTGGCATGGTTATCCTGCTGACGGTTCTGCGAGGTTTCAGGCCTTGCCCAGAGGCACACTGCAGAGAGTCGCACTCACACCAGTGTGTAGACGCCTCTTTCTTGCCATTTCTCCATGCAATGTGGTGTACCCACCCCTGAGTCATGGAATGGGACGGCTTCTGCTGCTGCCTGGGGAAGGCCTCGGTGGCTGGAGAAAGACCTTCTCAGTCGGGTAGGTCAGTCAGGAGCCCTCCCTCCACAGAGCCTGACCTCATGGGGGCAAGAAAATAAACAGCCAGGGAAGGGATGGACATGGGAAGCCATTGTGTAAACTGAGGCAGCTAGTGCCCTGTGTCTCCTCGCTTTGCCATGGCAGATTCCAAGGCAGCAGAGGCTCTGAGCATCTTATGGTTGTGGCTTCAGATGCTCTGCAGTCCCCACGCTGGGCAGACCACGCTCTCATCCCCCAGAGCCTAGCTTCTATTGTCATTTCTGACCGTTTTTCTTTTTTTGAGACAGAGTCTTGCTCTGTCACCCTGCGTAGAGTACAGTGGTGTTATAATAGCTCACTGCAACCTCAAACTCCTGGGCTCAAGTGATCCTCCTTCCTGAGCCACCCAAGTAGCTGGGACTACAGGCACTTGCCACCACACCTGGCTAATTTTTTCTGTTTTTGGTAGAGACGGAGTCTCACTCTTGCTCAGGCTGGTCCTGAACTCCTGAGCTCAAGCAATCCTCCTGCCTTGGCCTCCCAGAGTGCTAGGATTACAGGCTTGAGGCACCGCACCTGGCCAATTTCTGACCTTTTTGAGTCATGAATTCCTCTGAGTAGATGATCAAACTCTGGACCTCTCCTCAGAGAGAAGCGGGGAGGAGCGAGAGGGCTAGTGTGCATGTACAATTTTACGTGCTTAGGATGCTAACCTGTGCTTTAGATGCAGCTCAGATAAGCTCCCTGCTGTCTGGCTGCCAGCTGACTGGCTGCCACAGTTAGAGGTTGGGGACAGCAAGCTGCCCGCTGACAGCGTTTGGGGCTGCAGAGGGATCCTCGCCTGGAGACCAGGAGCAGTGAGGAGCCAGCCCCAGGGCCTGGCTGTGCTTCACCCAGGCTCTCTACTGCCCCACTGAGGACGTCTAGTCAGAATGCCAGAGAGTTAAGAAGCTCTGGCACTTAAAGGTACACAGCTCAGGTAGGTAGGGAATTCCCTGTCCCGAAATGATCACAATGCCAGGGAAGTAAGAGCCTATGCTAGAAAGATAAGTCGAGGGAAGAAGGAAGACATTCCGGGGTCCTCGGAGGATGTCCAGTCTTGTGTAGTGAGTGTGGGAAGGGGCATCTCACCTCACAGGGGAAATCATGTGGATCATAAGACCCGACTCTTTTTTCTTCCTGCTCACAGGTTACATTCCTTTCGGGACGCCAATTGTAAGTGTTACTGTCAATGGATTTTCTTTGCTAAATTTTTTTTAATGTATAACTTTACATTATTGTTCATAAATATTTGCCTGAGTTGTTGATTTAGGATAAATAAATTCCTGGAGGAGAATTACCAGATAAAATGATTTACATTTCTTATTATTTCTCTTGATGCTGATTGTCAAACTTCTTTTCATAAAAAGTGTGCTGACTTATACCCAACATGGAGCCGGACAGTGCCTTCATCTCTGCACGCTTTCCACCCCTAGTATCGTCATTAGGACCTGCTGGTTACAGGGAAATTTTCCCAAAGACCTTGGGAAGTAGGAATATAAACCTGCCTTCTGAAAATGAAAGTGTGAAATTGATTCAGAAAGGATTTTCAGTATTCTTTTTGCTCAGTGTTGGAATCAGGGTTAGGTTTACTCTTCATTTTATCTTTATTGGAATAAAACAAACATAGAGAAAGGTGCATTTATCATAAATGTGCGGTTTGATAAATTTTCACAAAGTGAGCATAACCAAGTAAACACCATTTGAATAAAGATTCAGAGCATCATCAGCATCTCAGAAACCTCTCCTGTGTCCCTCCCAGGCACCACCCCGACAGGGAGCCACTTTTCTGGCTTCCTTCCCTCTACTCTAGTTTTGCCTGTTATTGAACTTTTTATCAATGGAATCATTCGTATGTCCTTTTTTGTGTGTCTGGCTTCTTTTGCTTCACATTGTTTGTGAGATTTGTTTATAATTTTTTAATATATATACCATGGAGTACTCTATTTATATTGTTATATATAGTATTTGTTCTTTTTTATTGTTGTATAATATTCCATTGCTATAAATATATCAACATTTCTTTATGCATCCCACTGTTAGTGAACATTTGAGTTGTTTCCAGTTTGGGATTTACAACAAATAGTGCTGTTTTGAACATGCTTCTACAAGTCTTTTAGCAGATATATGCCCTCATTTCTCAGATATATACCTAGGAGGACACATAGATAACTACTAAATGCAGTGCGTGATCCTAGAATGGATCCTAGATTGGAGCAGAAGGTGTGTAAAATGTATGGCAGTTTTTTATAAAGTTAAACATACACTTAGGATATGACCAAGCAATCCTACTTTTAGGTATTTAACCTAAAAGGTATTTAACCAAGAGAAATTAATTTCTCATGTCTACACAGAGATGCATACATGAATGTTTGTGGTAGCTTTTTTCACATTAGCTAGAAACAGACAAGAATGACCAACAGATGTTAAAACCATTTGGGGAAAAACTGATCGAGAACAAAATATTTACCTAGTCTCAGAGTTTCCTATCGATACCATAGATATCATTCCTTCTATGTTTATTAGTTGGCACCCTCTTGTAAATAAGTGTTTTCCCTTCTATCTCATCCTTTAATGTTTTTTTTAAAACCATCAGTATGATCTTTGCATTTTTTTGATTCAGTAGGTAAAAATTTACTCCTGTCATTATTTATTTTGATATGCAAATTGTGCCACTTTTGACCAATGGGAACCCCTTAAAATTGTTTCTCTATTTGATATGATCCCCTTATTCCTCGAGAGCTTCAGTACTCTCTGGCACAGCAAGATATTCTAGATTCACCGTGTGCAGTCCTTTCTCTGCCCCAGTCCTAGGATGATCTGTTTCTCCACAGAACCCTAGTCCCTTTCAGAGGGAAACGGTATTTAGAAACCAAGATCTGGATGCTAGGTGTTCTCCTTGTTATTGGGATGTCATTGCTTCAGGCACTCTTAGAGGACAAAGCTAGGAGATACAACTTTTTAAATTTATGAATTTATACTGATACTTCTAATTCTAATCCAACATCTCAGTGTTCTTTCTTTTCTTCTCCTGTTTTATATTTGTATCTCGCTTCTCCCTGAATGAGAATCCAACAATAATATATTTATTCACTTACTAAATATCATGCATACAAATAAGAGTTCCAGAACTGCTACATCAATACCACTCTCAAAAAATGTATTAAGTAAAGCCCAAGATTTCTTTGAGGTTCTTTTTGTCCTTAGAATATATCCTACTGAGAGTATACTGTCAGAGAACCATGTTCGAAAGTTACTTGAATTAATTTTTTTCTTCTGTGTTTATGTTATCTATTTAATATACAGTTAGGCTTACTTGTTTCCGTTGGCATTCAATTTCAGTTGTTTCCCAATTCTTGTGGATTTTTTTTTTTTGATATTTAGAAGATTAGAATAGTTTAAAAGTCAAAGCCATTTAAAAAAGTATCCTCATAAAAGTTCCATTCCCCTCCCTATCCCTTCTACCTCCTTCTCACCCATCCTCTGTAGGTAAACAAATTTATCCTTCTTATTTCTTTTCATAAGAATAAGCAAATACAAATATATTTCCCCTTTTATTCTTTTTTTTTTTTGAGACAGAGTCTCACTCTGTTGCCTGGGCTAGAGTGCCGTGGCATCAGCCTAGCTCACAGCAACCTCAAACTCCTGGGCTCAAGCGATCCTCCTGCCTCAGCCTCCCAAGTAGCTGGGACTACAGGCATGTGCCACCATGCCCGGCTAATTTTTTCTATATATATATTTTTAGTTGTCCAGCTAATTTCTTTCTATTTTTAGTAGAGATGGGGTCTTGCTCTTGCTCAGGCTGGTCTCGAACTCCTGAGCTCAAACGATCCACCCGCCTTGGCCTCCCAGAGTGCTAAGATTACAGGCGTGAGCCACCGCACCCAGCCCCCTTTTATTCTTATATAAAAGGTAGCATACTATACACAGATGGTCCCTGACTTATGATGGTTCAACTTACAATTTTTCAACTGTGTGATGGTGCAAAAGCAATATGTATTCTATGAAAACTATACTTCCAATTTTGAATTTTGATCTTTTCCCAAGCTAGCAATAGGCAGTATGATACTCTCTCGTGATGCTGGGTGGTGGCAGCGAGCCCAGCTCCCAGGCAGCCCCACGATCACCAGGGTAAACAACTGATACTTTACAGTGTGCTGGGTTATCAGCGTTTTTTGGGATATTGTGTTTTGTGTTTTTCTATCCCATCATATCTACAAAATGCCCATTATCAACTTACAATATTTTCAACTTAGATGGGTTTATTGGGAGTAACCGCATCATAAGTCAAGGATCATCTGTACATGCTTTTACATAATGTTTTTTTCACTTAATGATATATCCTAGAAATCACTGTATATAGTTTATAGAGATCTCTCTCGTGGTTTTTCATAGCTGCATAGTATTCTACTAGTGGAAGTACCATAATTTATTTAGCCACTTTCCTACATTAGGTTATTTCTAATATTTTGCCATTATGAATAATGCCACAATGATGATATTGTACATATGTTTTTTGATATCATTGAAATATATCTTGAGGGTAAATTCCTAGGTTCTATGGGAGAACTAGTTATTAGACATTTCTGGCAACAGTGATTAAGATAAAAGAGAGAAGGTGCAAATAAACAGTATTAGGAACAAAAAGTACAATATCTGTAGATACAGTAAATGTTTAACATATTAACTGCCATGTGAGTTGTATTTAACTCACGCTATTTTTGAGCCTGGGGCCTCATGAAGTGTATATAACCCACATGTCTCTTCACCTTGGGAGCTGCGTGAACTATTTTTCAAGTTGCATATAACTCATGCACAGAAAACAATCAAAAAATAACAAAATTTTCAATAAATTAGAATGGATCATTTCGTTTTCAAATTTTTTATTCTATTTTCATAATAAAACACTGTGGCCCCAAGGAAAAAATTTTTTTTCTAGTGTGACAGTCAATGTGTTAAAAGATCAGAATGCATTGAACAACCCAGGGCAATAAATATGAAGACTTAGAAGAAATGGAAACATTTCTGGGAAAGTATAGCTTACCAAAACCACCTAGCAAGGTGAAATATGGAATCTGAATAGACCAATAACTAGAAAGAAATTAAATCAGTCGTTAAAAATATTTGTACCAAAGAACAAACAAACCAAAAATTACCACTGGGCTCTGATGATTTTCCGGGTGACTACGCTCAAAGGACTAGCCAAACTTAATCTTTGTAAAACTTCTAAAAGAGAAAAAAAGGAAATATTCCCAATTCATTTATGAGGCATCTTGAGACCAATACCAAAGAAGTAAGTATAAGAAAGAAAAATTATAGGCCAATATCACTTATGAAATTACACGTAAAAATTGTAAATAAAATAAGAACAAACTGAATCCAGCAAGGTATCAAGATACACCATAACCAAATACTTTTCAGTAAGAATGATACCATTAGAGAATGTATTAATGCAGTTCATCACACTAAGAAATTGAAGGAGAAACATGATTTTCCCAATAGAAAAAGCATTTGATAAAATAAAACATAACTCCATTCACAATAATAACCATAATAAAATAGAACGGATTAGGTCTAGAAGGAACTTCCTTAACTTAATACGAGTGTCTACAAAAAACAATTTAAAGACAACCAACCCTATGGCAAGCACCATTCTTAAAGATAAAACATATAAGAGTAAATTCATAATGTCTGGGTCAGGGTAAAAATGCCTGATAATCCTGCTTCTACCCAACATTTTCCTGGAAGATTAGCAAGTGCAGTAAGACATGAAAAAATAAACAGCTAGTATAATATTAGAGTTGGAAAGGAAGAAACAAAAAACATGCATGATAATAAACTATTGGAACTATTATTTTTAAAGATTTCTAGATGCAAGATAAGCATACAAAAATTGTTTTATGCCTATAAGCCTAAGACAAAGATCTAGAATATAAATTTTTTTTTTAAAAAGGTATCATTTACAATAGCACTTAAAACTATAAGGCACCTAAAAATAAATTTAAGAAATGATGTGCAAGACCTTTATAGAGAAACTTACAGGACTCTATTGAAGGACACTGGAAATCTAAATAAATGGAGAGATGTATCATCTCGTTTTCTTTACATTAAAATTTGTATTCAATGTAATTCCAATCAAAATCTCAGCAGGATTTTTCATGGAGCTTGACAAGTTG